CACTCCCGGTCCACGCATTTGGTCTCGAATCTTCTACCTCTCTTGTCGTGATCTTTTTAGTCAAAGCCACTCTCGTTTTGATTTGATTCCATTGGGCATTTTCTTTTTATTATTGTCCAATAAATAAATACATTTGGAATTGGAGTTCATGTAGTTCAAATTTAACCAGTTGTGCCATAAGAAGAATCAAAAATTCTATGGAGCCATCGGATGGTTTTCTTATGGAGCCATCCATTACTTCATATACTGACACATGTCCAAAGTGTATTTATTGCAGAACACGTGTCAATACACCATTTGTCAATAACTATGAATGACTCCATAAGCCGAGCCATCGGATGGTTTCATAGCAAAACTGTAAGAAGAATAGTCAATAGTGTGATCGCCTAATTTTGATATTAATTAGGGTAAGTTTATTGGCGAAATGGAAATGCATTGGCTGATTTCATTGTCTTGTTTGACGGTTATTTGATGGTTGATTTTATTATTTGTTTTAAATTACAGATAATTAATTAATATTTTAGTTGATTTAATTATCAAATTTAATGTGTAGTATTTCATAAATAATGATTATTTATAATTATTATGTTGTATTGTTTTGAATTATCACTTTCTAAAATACTCTTTTTTTTTTCTAGTTTTTTTTTTCAGAATTAACGTTTTGGGTTAACAAACTAATCAAATAAATCTTTTACCAAATAAACTATGTAGCGGATTTGATTTGTCAATCCACAAAATAAGATTTAATCCGTTAGTTTATCAGCAATTCATTTTGACAACAAACGAACCCGATAAAAAAAAAACCTCTAAAATGNAAAATTTAATGTTATGCATGTGTTTAAACGTGTGATTCATTTTATTCCTTTTTCATCATACACCATTGAATCAATGTCCTATAGGTAGTATTTACCTAACAATTTCATACACTTGAATTTCAGCAGTCAATATTTATAGTCAAGGTCATGAGAAAAAGTCAAACTAGAAAATTCACTTCTAGAAAAGTTTCATATTTATAAACCCACCCAACCATGCTATTTGGTTTGCACTTTGAATTTGTAATGGTAATAGCATATAAGGCATACAAATTCTACATGTTTATTTAAATACATTTTTCCAAGAATTTATTTCAATAACAACTGAAATTGAATGATGAATAACTTTTTTCTCATATCTTACCTTACCTAATTATGATATTTATTGCTGGTCGTGCAATATGTATCCATCTTATATATAGATAAAATGGATCATAAATCTTATTTCTCTTGAATCTTTAATCCACACTCCCAAGTCCACATTTCTGGCTAGCCCAGATCGGAAAACACTATTTGCAGATAAAATTTGTTGATATTTTCTTCAAAATTACGAATTTCAGTATTAAGGTAAAAAGGAATCACATGAAAGAAAGTATTTGTGAAGTGTTTGCAAAAAATCTGAAAATGTCACACATAATGTAAAAGCTTAAATCACATTTAATTTTCACTTTGAAAGCTGGGGACCTGCATTTTTTAGTCGGAAAATGCTACAATCCCGTTACGGAACCATTCCGTTGGGATTGTAACCGTTAGATCATCAAGTAACCGTCAATGATAATTGATCTAACGGTTACAAATCCCAACGGAATGGTTCCGTAACGGGATTGTAGCCTTACCCTTTTTAGTCATTCATAATTTATTACTGTTGGAATTGTTCGATAATAGAAATACCAAAATCCTTCCGTAAGAAAAAAAAGTTATATGACATATCAAGAAAATGTCGAGGAATTTTTTTTCTTTTTTTTATTGAAATTTCTGACCTTTGGGGCCTGCAAGTCTGGTTGAGCCTGCCACCTGAAAGCGACAGCGACAAGTTTGGTAAGTGACATTCATCATATTTTCATGCATTATGAGTGATATATAGTGATATTTGGCCATGATTATCGTGTGATTGTGCACCATTTCGTTTTATTTATTAAACTATGATAGAGGTGTTTTTGTCGTTGTTTTTGCAGGAAATATGCCCGAAAATGCGTTGAAGATGGAATCGGGATGAAAAACGGCGAAAACGGGTACAGAAGAGGTCACACGACTCGTGTGGATAGTGACACGGGTCGTGTGGGTTGAAGAAACAAGAGATGCAGCTACGACATTTTCACACGAGTCGTGTGGGTTGGGACACGAGTCGTGTGGCTTCACACGACTCGTGTGACCCGGTCGTGTGAGTGCTCGTGTGAGTCTGGGAGTTTGCCGAAAATTGGAGAAAAGTCACACGACTCGTGTGGCATGTGACACGACTCGTGTGACGTGCAGACCAGACCTGCGGGGAATAGGATTCTTGTGCAATTTCTTCCCTTTTTCGACCCAGAAGTGCCCTACAGTATAAAAGAGGCCTTAGGAACTCGTTTTTGGGACTTTTGACACCATTGGAGGCCTAGAGAAAGCACGAAACACACGAGGGATTCGAGGAAGTCAAGATTGAAGATTCGAGAACTAACGGCGACAATAGTTCTTCTTTCTTTTCTCTTTTTCTTCTTCATTGAACTCATGAATATATTTATTTGAGTTTTGAGAATATGTTTAGTAGCTAAACCTTTTAGGGATTCTAGGATTTGCGAGTACTCGGATTATTTTATGAAGTGATTTTGTTTATTCATTCCGGTTTATCATTCATTTATCAATTTCTTGTGCTTTTGTTAATTGTGTGAATATAAGGGCCCGTGTTTATGCATATTTGTGATTGACTTGAGACCGAGAGGAGATAGTTGATTGCTAGAATTGGAAAATTGATAACGTAAGAGACTAAACAGACCGAGAGGTTGATAGAATCTTGCGAGGGAACTAGAATCTTAGGAGCTTATGGGAGTTGATTGTTCATCTTGAGACCAGGAGATAGATAACAATTAATATCTACGATTTAACTTGTTCGAGAGAAAGGTGTAAATTACTTTAGTGATTATCCCTACGAATGGTAGAATTAAATAAGGTTTGAATGAATAATTAATCTTTGTTAGAATAATCCCGAGGAAAGCATAGCCTAGAATCTATTTTCTCATTCTTGATTTATCTTAGAACAAGCCTTCATTAGTGTTAGAACTTATTTTGCAATCATTCATTAGTTTAGAATAAAATCACCATTTAAATTTGCATTAGACTAAATAATATTTAATCGTTTACATTTTGATACTTGGTTAATTTTGACAACAATCTCTGTGGAATACGACCTTGCTCGCCACTCACTACAGCTATACCGTACACTTGCGGATAGTGAAAATATTTTGCGAACAGTAAGCAGGCCCAACTATGAAGTAAAGAGGTTGATTATGCATACAAGTACAAAAGGCCCATATTTCACTTCCAAGCCCGTTCAAGAAAAGCCCATTTTGATATTCGAACACTGACGCTACTTTCATTTTTAGTGCCCATTGTAATTATCCTCTCCGAGTCTCTGTGTCAACAATTAATACTGTTAATGCTTTATTATTTTTTCCGATATTTGCTAATCTATGTGTAAAATTTCGGATGCTTTGGAATAGTCATACAGATTAGTATTTCTATCTTTATGAATTTTAAAATTATAAAATTATCGATTAACTTAAAATATAAATATACTTAAACGTCAATAAATTTTATATTTATTTTTAGTTTTTATATATGTTATATCAAATTAATCAACTAATGAAGAGTTTCGATTTGACATCTATATTTTATATATAAAATAAATAATTTTTTTATCATATATTAATATTTAAGAGTATCAAAATTATTTATTTATTAAATAAACATATCTATAAAGTCATCATATGAATGATTTAAAAATTCATTATAATATATACAAGTAAAAGTGACGAGTGTTATTTCAAATATAAATAATAATGCAATTTTTGTTAAAAATATTTTAAATTTAAAACAAAGAATTATTTTTCTTTTTATTTTGTAAATATAAGTATATATTTCTTAACTATTTTATATTCGAATGAAAGAATTATAGATTGATATTCACAAATAACAATAAATGTCAAAAGCAACTTCAATTCACATTTTGCTGTGAATTTCATGGGTTATTATAACTTATAAGTACTGTGTTACTAATAAAATTCAACGGAATTATCACTATCGAACGTGAGCATGTTGTTGAAGACACTTGTTTATTGTCATGACCACATGTAGGGCTACAACAAGCCGAATCCAGCCAAACATTGACCTCATCTCGATTTTTTTACTCTCGTTCGAACTTTACAAGTTTGTCTTGCTTGAGGTTCGACTTATCTCGACAACAAAACACAAACATTCGAGACCGTCTCTAAGGATTGGCACAAATTCTCGCGTTCATCAACTGAAAATTTTTAATTAAATTTGTCCAACGAGGGTTACTAATTAAGGTAATTTACGTACATACGTGCAACTCGTCGAGCGATTGAGCTCAATTATACTCTAACTCAAATCGAGCATTGACTTGGCTAACGAGTTGTTTCATTAGTTTGCAGCCCTAAGTCCACATGTATATATGTTGCTATTTTCCGAGTCATTTGACACAAGGCCATCGTGATAAATGTTAATAGCTTCATACTTACATAGTTCAACTGTAAAGAAATTTCATTTGTGAGTTGTGGCCTCAACTATAGTCCTACCACCCTCCTTCTGATCAATTTACATTGATTTTTTTTATAATACATTGCATTGATTTTCAAATTGCAACGTTTCATCATTTCTATATATAGTCTCTAATTTGACTTATGATCATTAACTAAAAAAACAAATTAAAGGCACTTTTGGCACGATTAGGGCATTATTACTTTGTGTACTCTTCTACTAACAATTTTACTATGGAGTCATCGGATGGCTCGACTTATGGAGCCATCCACACTTATTCACCAATAGTATATTGACACTTGCCCTGCAATAAATACACTTTGAACAGGTGTCAATACATTAAGTGGTGGATGACTCCATAAGAAAACCATCCAATAGCTCCATATAATTTTTGCTTCTACTAATTTGAACAATAGTAAAAAGAAACATGTAAACAAATAACTACGAAGAAAAACAGAGAGCAGTTGCTAATTTGCCGCCTTAACCTTGTCACCAAATGTTTCAGTTTACTAGCTACTACATTGCCCTACACTTATACAGATGCTTTAGAATGATTGCCAATCCCACTAAGTTCCTCATCCATGCAAAAAAGCTATAGATAAGAGCCCCCTAACTCACCTTTACCTTTTGACCACTCCACCTCTTCTAAACGTTGCAATCACACCAAACAACATGAACTCAAAACATGATTTCACTCTTTTTTGTCCCAAACTTTTACACTATGATCCCACCCTTTATTATTCTTCACTCCATGCCGAAAATCGGCATTCGGAAAGACGATAGGCTCGATTTCGCATCTTCCAACGATTGCGCCGCCTGCTGTGGTGCCGCAGTCGCCCAATTTCCATCGCCAATGCCAGAAACCTCTGCATCGCGAGTTGTACCCACCTCCGGACTCGATGGTGTGCAAGTAGTACCGATGCCTTGATCTTGATAGTAATTGTAACAATTTTCACCGTTGACCGACAAGTTTGACCCGAATTCTATGTTGTACGGAGTTGTACCTTCAACATTTGTACCGTTCGTGTTGGGACCGAAAGTAGGGTTTTGGTAGCCTAGGCCGGCTGCCCACAAGCTCGATGGCGATGGATGGTCGGGTTTCACAATGGGCATCGTGAAAGTCAATGCCGGTGGTGAATTGAGCGATGGGAAAGGGAGTGATGATGTGGCGGCCAGGGATTGGTCTAGGTTGTTGTTTTCGTCCGAGGAGTGGGTCCCATCCGTGCATTGATTGTCCGATGTCGATTGTGACAAGGTTTTAGGTTTATTAATTGATGATGAGATGGGTAGATTGTTATTGGCAATGCCGGTCACGTCATAACGGCTCATGTCGAAATTGGTGACCGCGTTTGGGCCGCGAAATTTGATCGCGGCTATGTCGTAAGCCTCGGCTGCTTCTTCTTGAGTGCCTATTTATGAAAATGTACAAAATTTTAAATTTGAATTTTTATTTATAAGAATTTAGTTATAGCTAAAGAAATTGGAGTGCTAGCATAGAATCACTATTAATGAATGAAAATGAACAAAAAATTAAAACTTGAATTGTTATTTATTTTATGGGAGAATTTAATTTAATAAACATATAGCTAAAAAATTGGAGAACTAGGAGCTAGCATAGGCTCACAAAAATGGGAACATATTTAATTCTTTCTTTTCAATTCATTTATGCATTGGCGCGCCCACCGTTTTGAAAGCAAATAATAAAGCGCCACGTCATGCATGACCTGTCGCTATTTTCATTTCTTTCCTTTTTTGTTTGGGGAATACTGTTGGTCGGGCTATTCTACGACATGCACCGCCCAGGCCAACCAATAGAAACTTAGTTGGTGAAAAAAAAAACGAAAATAACATATCTATGTGCATTTAATTATTTATTTGCCGTGCCCATTTTGTGGTACACCTATGATGAGTACATGCAGAATTAATTTTCCTTTAATTTCCTTTATTATTTTATTTGTTGCAAGTAACAAGATACACAGCCATGAATTCGTGATAGCAATGCAAACAAGAAATTAGTTAAAATCCAACGATGATGTGAGTTTCTTGGACTGAATTTAAGAAAAAAATCATGCACTTTCCAAAGAAAATCATAATTCCCTAGGCGGGTCAACTGTCATATTAGGTGAATCAAAATATATACTTATATTGTCAAATTTCAATTCTTTTTTTCAATGTTTAACTTATAATGAAAGTATGCTCCTATGAAAAAAAAAATATGCTGGCCTAATGAAAAGAATGTGTGCATATTGTAAAAAACAATACATCGACATCATGGTTAGGTTAGACGAATAACTAACCAAAAAATAAAAAAATAAAAAATGAGAGGGAAAATGGGAAACGCTTACTAAATGTGCCAAGATAAAGGTCTTTATTGCCAGCAACTCTTCCAATTCTTGCTTGCCATCGGCCGTGCTGGTGGTGCCTGAACAATTTTAATTTTGTTCAAATTGAGAAAAATTATAAATAGTAATAAATAAATTGTGAATTAATTATACAAATCAACCTTGTGACTCCCCTGTAAATGGAGGCGCCTCTAGAAAACCCACTGCTTTTCCTGAAATCACC